ACCCAGGTGAGTTCCCACATCTGAATCTGAAAAACCGTAAGTAAATATTTGAAAGCACTGGGGGAACATGGTGTAGTTAAGTATTGCCATTAAGAACCCCCTGGAATGTGAACATGAGGAAAAACTAAGCCACTTAGCAACTTAGGCACCGCTGTTGCATGAGACGGAAATTAGAAGGTGCCGTGAAAGCGAAGCCTCCTATGTCCTCTCCCAAGCCAGTGAAATAGGTCTTTGCAGACATTCAGAATGTCTATGCTCTGTCTTAACCACGTAAGGATTTCCCAACTCCATTTACTTATAGCCACTGGACCCCAGAGACAAATCACTTCATCTCCAGGCCTCAGTTTTCTTCCCTGTAAAATGGAGTTATATCATGGTCCCTTCCTTCCTACAGCCCATAGGAGGGTTGAATGAGAGCATGCATGCCATCTGCCCACGTCAGGCCTGGCACAGAGCAGCTGCTCAATAAATGGGCAGAACATGCCTCCTCCATCGGTACAAGGATAAAAGGCTGGCTCAATATTAAGTAACCAAGCACACCTTTGCTGGACTCTCCCTTTCACCAAGCACTAAGCATGGACCAATCCAAGCCTTGATTTTTTATTTAATTTTTTTTTTTGTTAATCCTCGCCCAAGGATATTTTTCCATTGATTTTTAGGGAAAGTGGAAGAGAGAGGGAAAGACAGAGAGAAACATCGATGTGAGAGAAACACATTGGTTGGTTGCTTCCTGCACGAGCCCCCGACCAGGGCCTGGGCCCAGAAAGAGCCTGCAATCAAGGTATGTGCCCTTGACCGGAATCAAATCTGGGACCCTTTGGTCCACAGGCCGATGCTCTATCCACTGAGCCAAACCGGCTAGGGCCCAATCCAAGCCTTTAAACAGAGGGTCTCTCCTACTGCCTCCCCCGACAGTGGTCCTGGAATGCCTGCTTGCTCCATCCCCAGGAAAACTGTCTTCTCCTCGCCTCCTAGTCATTTACTCATAACTTCCAAACGGTCACGAGTGAAACAGCGCACGTCAGTGTGCTCTGGCTGCTGAATAAGCAAAACACTGGCTTTCTGCTTGGAAAACACTCTCGCACCAGGATGAAACCTTGGCAGCCAACGCACTCCTGCTTCCCAAAGGCAGCCACTCACTGCGTGCCAGCCACATCCTGACTCCCCGGGTTCCCGGGGGACCCTTCACCCCCAGAGGCGAAGACCAGAGGAGACTCTGCCTCTTTTACGGTATTTCTGACCCCCTTCCTACAGTGCTCCTACGGAGAGATTTCAGTAAAGGCCCCGACATCTGCAAAACACACTCTCTGCCAGTGACGTAGCGAAAGGGAGAGAGAGTGGGTTAAACGCAGATTCCAAGCTTGGAGCTCAATACCGGTTTTTAGTTGAGACTTATGCATGTTAATTAGGAACCCAAAGAGCAAATAGTAAACGAACCGAAAGACATTTAATTACTAGAACTAGAAAAGATTTTTTTTTTACAAGAAATAATTCCAAGCTGCCCTAGTTAATATCTATTCCTGAGTTTCCACATCACCAAAAAAGCACCCAAAAGTTCTATTCCTAAGAATAACCACAAGATAACACAAACAGTGTTCTAAAGTAGCGGTCGCCAACTGGTGGTCCGCAGACCACTGGCGGTCTGTGAGGTCCGAAAGGTTGGCGACCACTGTCCTAAAGGTCCCAAGTATCTCACTTGTAAAGCACATACCAACAAGATTTGGTGGTTTGCTCTGAAACTTTTAATATTCTTAAGGCCCATATTTTTTAAGAGCTGAATTCTGATCCATTTAAGATATGTGCAATAATGTACCCCCGACATACAAGTAAGCTTGGGGCAGGGGCGGGGAATTCGACCCTGTGGTTATCTATATATATAAAAGGCTAATATGCTAAGTGTCTGTCCGGGTAATGATGTCACGGCTTCACCGAGCTTCCTCTCCCTAGCAACTAGCCTCCTTGCAGTTTCTTCAGCCCAGGAACATAATTTGCTTTATACCGAGGTGCAAACAAACATTTCACACTTTAACCAAATGTCTGTGAAGCGTTTTACCATGCCTCATCTCATTTGATCCTCACAGAAGTCCTGGAGTAGGTAGATAGGAGACTCAGTGGAATCCTATTTTCTTTTCATTAGCCGGAAAATAGAGATTTAGAAAGCTTAGAAACTTGACCTGACTGAAAAGAAGAAATGGTGGACCTTGAAAATGACTTCAGGTTTTCTCACTGTGCAGAATACAGTCAAACACTGCTGTAGTTAAATATTTTACCCTTTGTTCTCCCTGCGTGATCTACAATAATAATCTGCTTTGTGTTGATATTTACTGCTGTGTTGCTGACAATTACCTGAAAGAGGAGTTGGGGTGCTTCACTGGGCTGGAAAAAATTTAACTACAACAGAAAGCAGGTCTAATTAAGCAAGTTTATTCTATGTATATAAAAGGCTAAGATGACTTGTGCATGCACAATACATATAAAGCTCTCGCTGGCACCAATCGCATGCGTGTTTCCATCTGTCATTGTCGATCGTGAATTTGGTTGACACTTCTATTATAGAGAAAGGGTGAATAGCGATATTAAAATATTTCTTCTAATTAATTTCCTTTCAACATGAACAAATTTGTGCACCGGGCCACTAGTCTATCAATAAGAAACTAAAGGGTATGTTTCACATTTATGCAAATGAAAATCACTTATGAGTTCAACTTCATGGACTATGATTCAAGAGTTAAAAGACACAGACTGGGGACAATGACTTCCTGACCAGTATTGTACTCAAGTTCAGAAAAGAGAGTTACAAAATTACTGTGCCATTCTGAGTGAAACAGTTACTGTTATATTTTTGAGACCATGAGTATTATCAATGTACTCTAACATGACACTTTTAAACTTCTAGCCTGGTTCCAATTCCTTCTCAAGTTCATAGATAACCACATTTGTATTATGACTGATCTATTTTTCTAACCTTGCAAAATAGTAACACACACCACACATACACACTCGCCTTGCATTTGCTTTTAAATTTAGTTACCTAAAACTAAGACCAAGAGCAACATTTATCGTATCCTCTGCGGTTGCTGAAATTATGGGCACATACCCCTACAAATAGCATCTCCAACTACTTACCCTTATCACACCCCAAACAGAATGCAGTAACAGTATCTGAATGTGCAGACAGGGAAAGTTAAAACAACTGACAGTGCTATTAGCAGGCACTGAAGAAGTTACCGAGAAGGAAAATAACCGCTCAGTCTATCAATGGGACATCCTTTAGAGGCATGTACAATTAGTACAGAAAAAAGGATGCAAAATGCTCCGGTATCAGCATGTTCCAATTCATCACAATTAAGTGAAGGACTGAGCCCTCATGGGGTGGAATGCCTGGCAACTCCATGTAATCCTGGACACTAAGCATCAGGCTAGCACAAGGCTGACCGTTCACAAAGAAGGGAAAAAAGGAAAAAAAAGAAAAAAGATCCATTTACCTCTGGCTTACAAACACACCTAGTTCGATGATATTTCTCCAACTGAATTTCAAAATTCAGTTCCATCACCATCATTAACTTCAGAAAGAACGCTAGAAAGCATCCTCAACTGGCAGAAACGTTCAGACTAATTTGCAGTACCTGGCAGGCAAGATGGGACCCAGTACCAGCAGAAATCTCTCCTCTTAAAATTTAGGACCTAGGTGGCGGGGGTGTGGCTCCCTGGCCCCAAACATCCCCAGCTCGGGAATCAAGACACTCTGAATGGCTCAGTGGCTGAGTGTCAATCTAGGAACCAGTAGCTTGAGGTTTGATTCCAGGTCAGGGCGCATGCCCAGGTTGCAGGCTCAATCCCCAATGGGGGGACGTGCAGGAGGCAGATGATCAATAATTCTCTCTCATCACTAATGTTTCTTTCTCTCTCTCCCTCTCCCTTCCTCTCTGAAATCAATAAAAATATATTAAAAAAAAAAAGACACTCTGACTGCCAGGCAGCAGCTGCAAGTGGAGGCAAGGAGGGGGTCCCAGGATGGGCAGGGGTGGGGCACTGACCACCTACCTGGACCTACCTCCTCGAGCAGCGTATGCGTTCCTGCAGTTATGCTTCAGAAGACCAGAGCTACATGCAACCTGGTCTGAAGAGCAAGCAGCAGAAACGCGTACCAAGAGCATTGCCCACAGAAGCCCAAGCTTCTCAATGTTAAAGAGGGCTCCCCAAATCTCAAGCCAACCCAGGAGAATCCATCTGGACAACACGGTCTGCTTCCCTAACTTCCCCCAGTGCTGTCTTCTGCAGCTGAAATAGGTATGGCTCGCTGGGAGGGGAGTGGTGCTTTACGGCACTTACAGCTGGTGCCAAGCTCCAGGGCAAATGTCCTATTTTCATGGAGGTTCAGAGGCTTTCACAGCCCTGGGGTCCCCCCTTACCTACCCCTCTGACCCTATCACTAATTCACTTAACATTGTAAAGGAACCCACTCCGACCTTGGCCCTGTCCCCAGACACCCAACAAGGTTCTCTGGAGGGTCTGCCTAGGAGGAGCTGTTCTTCTGCAGCCTCTGGTCTCAGCTCCGACACTTGCAGGCAGCAAGGGCCTCTGGTCTCAGTTCACCGCTCTGAGTGCCCTGCAGGCAGGTCCTGCTGGCGCAGCAGCTCGGGCATAACTGAACCCTCTGATGAGGGGGCCGTGGGGGCTGTTCTGCACAGATCTCTCTTCCACCCAGGACTGTAGGCCCCGGACTAGGTCAGGGATTGGGGGGGGGGGGGGGGGTCCAGAGCCAGTCCTCGGCCCACTTCCAGCCACCGGGGCTCAGCACCCGGGCATGGGGGCAGGCGGAAGCTGCACACCCCAGGTCCCCCTTTCACCCGGGAGCGGGGGTCCCGGAGGGGGTGTGGCTCTGCAGCCCCAAACATCCCCGGCTCAGGAATCCAGGCGATCAGATGCCAGGCAAGCCGGGCAGCAGCTGTGAGCGGAGGCTCCGCGGGTCCCCGCGGGGCGCGCCGGCCGCGACCTACCTCCTCCAGCAGCGTCACGGTGTTCCTGCAGTTGTGCAGCCGCGTGGTGAAGCTGGACGTGGTGGGCGAGTTGTAGTCCTCGGTGGTCTCGAACGATGAACTCGGACACGGAGATCTGGTCCGGCATCCTGCCGGGGGGG